GTGATGCTGGAAAACACAGGGTACTTTGGGGCACCCCCACATCCTTCTCTCAGTTCACTTGCTCTCATGATCTCCCACTCCAAGAACTCTTGAACCTTGAAACAGCAATGTGTGACTATTTTTAACCTTGTATCTTTTCTTTTCGCCTTATGTGGCTCTGAGTTCATGGTCCAGCAGTGTAATCACTTCTGCTTAGCCACCCTTAAATTAGTTCCTTCTCTTCTTCTATACCACTTGCCTTGCAGAATTCTGGTGAACGATCAACCTTTGCTACCTCTGCAGTGAGCAGCTGGGGACTGCTTCAGGAAAAATTATGCAGGTGTGCTGCAGGTCTCACTTCAATTTATGGTCACAGTACTGCTTTTTCTGAACACTTTATTTCAAATTTCAATGACAAGACACCTCCCACATTCCTCTCTCCTTTTATTTTTTCCCATTGTACTTGTCCCCACCTGACATCCTTTGTATTTTAATTATATTCTTTAACTCAAGGAAGACTGTAAACTCAGCTAGGGCTGAGCTCTTTGTTCAGTGACATATTCCCAAAGACAGTGCCTCGCATATAGAAGCGTTCATAAACTATTTGCGAAGTTAGCGGTCATAGAGGTATTTTGAGAACCACCTTTTAAGAAATGAGTTTTCTGTCAGAACACTTCATTAAACTTTGAATAACTGCTGTGAGATAGGCTTGCCACACATCTGTGACAGTATATAAAGTTCCTTTTCCTAATGAAAATCAGGGTTCAGTGAGAACAAACATGAAGATAAATGAATTTAGATGTAAAGTTGTTATGCTATTCCCTTGCTGATTAAAATACTTGAATTGATAATTTAAAATACTTTAGAAGTTGAAGTATATATAAGACTATTTTGTGAATGATTTATGTTAATAATGCCATAATTATGGCTTATTTTCTTTAGGTTCTTAGAGATACAGTTTCATAAAAATAAAACACTTATTTAAAGCAGCTATGAAATAATACCACACATATCAATTAGACATAATATGTATTATTCTCTTCTAAATACTAGCTACTTGATAGTTTCTGTATAATTTGAAATTCTCACTTAAGTTTAGAAAACTAGTGTCATAAAATTTTATATCTTATTTTACATATAATATTTATAAGATTTAACTGAATATAAATGAAGTTATTCTTGGGAAGGTGGAGAACAGGGAGAATTTGTGAAATATATGTTCTCATGTGTGTAGTTAAAATTTATATATGATACAGATTTTTTATAGGTAGATGTTTATATATAACATTTAATACTTTAGTAGTATCATTTTATTTCCAATTAGTATACTTTTATGTGGTTTGTCTTGCTTAAACTGTTATTCTCCAGCTCACACACATTATATAGCTGTTTGTATGACTGTGTATCTATTCTCTCTATAGGTAACAATTTATATATAAGATAGATGTTAATAAGGTATACACACACATAATAGAAAAGGTTTGGTAAGAAAGAAACATGTGGAAAGGCTTTGATTTAACCTTCTGTTTCTCTTTTCTTGGTTGTCTAAATGGCTGAAATTATTTTATTGACATATTTAATTACCCTGCAGTCTGTGAAGTAAAAATGTAGAAAAGCCTCATTTCCCTAAGTAAAAAAAAAAATTGAAAATACAGAACAAGAAAGTGAATTGAGAAAAAGAAAAATTAAGGAGGCAAAAGCACTCAGATGTGACATCGACACTATTTCCTATGTAGTCTGATAAAACTGAACATCCTGGGCCCTCCCTTGTGGCGCAGCGGGTTACAACACAACACTAAGAAGCTTAAGCCGCTTCCACATGAGTCCGATTCCCCCCTGCCCCGGAGGTGACCCACATGGCGCGGCAGACCTCTCCTGACCTGCCCGCTGCTCCCCTCAGCAGTGTACTTCTTCGATCTGCCTGTTCTGCACACCCCACTCTGTCTCTGGTGAAGCCTCTCACCGCCCCTGAGCCTCTGGCCTGTACCCCAGTTCTGTATGTACAAAAAAAAAAAAAAATTTAGAAACTACAGAAAACCACATAATATAAAATTAGAATACTCTAATTTTTTCTTGTAGATGTCTTTATTAGCTTTTTAGGTCATACAAAGAATCAGCTTGATACTGATTTCTTTTATTTAGCATTTTATCAGGAATTTTTGGAGTTGATGGAGCTAGTTATTAAAAACATATCGTCAGTGTTTTGAAGACCAAAAGAATCAATAAAAAAAGTATATACAGTTTGGGTGGTTATTTGGCATAGATGGAGACAATGGATATTTTGATTCACTTTTCTAAAACATTTTGACCTAGTTCTGTGACATGGGAATAAAGTTAGGATAAAGAAAACCACTCATTCTCAGATATAATTATGATGAAAATTACTACAGAATGAAATTGGCTTTGTGTGGCTCAAAAGGTTACTCTATAATAGCTCTCTTCTAACTGAGAAACAGTCAAATAGTTTTAATTAGGCGTCTTTCTCCATGTTTCGTAATTACCAATTACTGCTACCGGCATTAATGATTGCCACTACCATCTGAAATAATTTCTGTATGCAAGGTGAAAAATTTTTGCACCAGTAAAATCTTTTCTTTTAAAAAATGGCAAGCAAAATCGTTGTATCTGGCAAAGTAATGTTACGAGAAATGTAATTTTGGGAAAGAGCCGTTTGATTCATGAAAACAATTTTGCTTCATTTCTTGTCTTTTCTAATCAAACATCTCAGTCTTTTTTCCATTAGTTGATATGATTGGTATTAAACTAGATAAAAATTGAAATATTAGTGCTGGATACTGTGGAGTGAGGGAAATCAAATATAGACATTCCCTTTTTACTTTTGGTAGAGACTGGAAGTATTTTCTGTGGCTGAATGATATGTGTGCTGATGATAATGCAAGATAGCAGAAAGCAGAGTTCTGAAATGTGACTTTGGAATAATTTTTCAGAATTCACTTCCATCAGAGAATGACATCTTACTATGTTACTAATTAACAGTTTTATTTTGTAGAATTAATTATAATTGTGATGCTGAGGAAGTATTTAGAAATTATTTTTATTTTGGGTGGACTGCAGGTATAGAATTATAGCCAAATCATCCAAAGGCAAAAGTGTTTTCAGAACTTGGTTATAAAGAGGATTTCAATTTTGTTTTTGACATTATCACTAGCTGTATCCTATGAGAGACCATTGTTACACAAAATAACAGAAATGCCAATTTTTTTCCATAATTTTATAAATGTGTAGTTGAACTAGAAGGAAGTAAAGAGTTTATTATAGAGATAGCCATAGTGCAAAATATAAAATGAGGTTTATTGCTTGATAAAATTGACTTAACATTAGAAAATCTCAAAAGCATATCAATAAATACATATTTATTCATTCACAGCTAAAGGAACAGCAACTTTTGGCAGACAAGGAATAGATTTAAAAATTCTACAGAAAAAAATCAATAATAAATACCATAGTCACTGTGAGATGTGAAAAGTTTTATTTTTTTGAGATGTGAAAAGTATTTTAGGAAAAAGACAAACATAACTACTCTTACTACTTCTTTTCATCATGGTTCTGGAATATTAAGCCAGTCAATAAGATAAGAAAGAGGAGATTATAAAAACTGGGGGAAAAGGGGGGGCGCATTATATTTATATAGCTGTCTACATAGAAAACCTCCCCAAAAATGCACAGAAAATTAATAGAATTAAGCATTTACCAACTATGCCAGATGTATAAATGGTATGGAAATCAAGCATGCAACTCTGTTTGCTGGCAAGAAGATGTTAGAAAATTTAGTTTAAAAAACATCATTAAAATAGTATATTCAGCCTAAGTATATCAGTTCATGGAGTGAATGGATGATTACAAGAACAGTTTATGAAAGGTTTGTGTTGCACACAGAAGAACTGTTAGCTGTTACTCTCTTGATTCACTGATGGCTCTTAGTAAGAGCAGGGAAATCAGACATCCCATGCTTTCTGATGTGAGGATGTATATCGAACACAATTCCATTTACTACAAAGTGGAAACTGAATCTGTTCAAATCTTTAAAGTTAACTTATAGTATACCAAAAAAAAGAAAACGAGAAACTTAAATGACATTATGAAGGAACAAATAGACAATCCAAACTATGACTCATTCACAGACCCAGTCAGTTTTGTTTTGTTTTGTTTTGTTTTTTTAAACAGTCAGTGCTATTATAAAAGGGGATAGGAAGGAAGCGAGAGATTTTTCTCTAAATTAATAGAAACTTGAAGGATTGGTGAACTTTTTTGAGATTCTCATTAAAAAACTGCTGTACAATTTTTTGAGAAAGCTGGAGAAATTTGAATATAGAAAGGATATTAGTAATACTTAGAATTATTAATTTTGTTAATACATTGTTGAAAACATCCTTTGTTCTAGAGTACTTGTATAAGGAACTGCATGCAGTGACATGATATATGGAATTTAAAATGACAATAAAACATACAAGATTATGCTTACGGAGATAGTGAAATAGTGTAGGGAGAAGAACACAGGAGCTGCAGAAGCAGCTTTATTTCTCTTTTGCTTAATCTGCGTTCCCAGATATTTTATCATTAACTGTGATATAACATCACACACACACTACATATAGTATTTTGAGTGAAATATTTAATCATAATACAATTAGAATTTTATTACAAAATCTTAGTCAACCATTTTACTATTTCGCAGCATTGATGTTGGGAAACTGTTTCTGTATTTTCAACCTAAATTTCCTACTTGTTTTCTTTTCCCTGTCATTTCAAAGTCATGCTTGTTTTAGTTTTTCAAAAAGCCTTCACGAAGTTACATGCTGAAACACATGTTCCTGAAACAACGTTATATTAATCTTTTGCTACCACTGGTAGGAAAGAATTTTAAGGGGTTAAAAAAAATTTGCCACAAGAATTCTTTGTTGATTTTCAGCTTTTTGTGGTGTCAATCATGTAAGCCTGTAAATAAACATATTCTTTTCTCTGATATGTGAAAAATGTGATTTTCCTCCCCCTGTTAATAGGCAAGTGAAAGACCAGAATAAGAAGGTGGCAAACCTGAAGCACAAGGAGCAAGTGGAAAAGAAGAAGAGCGCACAGATGCTCGAGGAGGCTCGGCGAAGGGAGGACAATCTCAATGACAGCTCCCAGCAGCTGCAGGTAGAGTGCAAGGAGATCTGGAAGGATCTGGTGAAGAGAGTGGATCCATAATTGCATGTTGTTTTTTTCTCTTCTTTATTCTCCTTTTTTCTGTCTCTCTAACCCTGCTTGCTGCCTTCCTGTCATACCAACTGTTAAGCAATAAAGGAATGACTTTAATTAGAGAAGGCAGATTTTATTCCACAGTGTTTTGAGGACATCTCAGCATAGGAGAAAGTTCCTCTTGCTTCAAGTTGATCACATTTATTGGTAAGTTCAGTGTCAGCTTAATGCATGGGTTCTATTGAGCTTTCATGATGGTAAGTATTAACTATTTTCCAATTTCCTCATTAAAGTATATTGCTAATCCTGGCAGATGTTTGTTTAACTTCCTTTTTTCCCATTCTTACTCTGCTTTTCCCACTCAGCCCCCTTCTCTGCCTTTCTTTCCCTTTCTTCTCTTCCCTATATTCTTCTTTTAAAAATTCATTTTGGAGAACTTATTTTACGTTATTCCTTATTAGTTCAGTGGCATGATTGGTATGAAAGCCTAGTTAGTTACATATTTGTTAAATCAGGCTCAGTGACAATTGTAGTAGTAATAAAGACTGATTAAGTGCCCAGTATTTGAAACTAGGCTGTGGACATTGATTATTTCTAACCCCCACCATTACCCAGTCCTGCACATTTTGTAGATAAGGAAAGTGGACTTACAGACATTGGATTGATTGCTTACTTACCTAAATGCTACAATTTTTAAGTGTCTCAGTCATGCTTTAACTGACATCTTCTGGATCTACAGCCTGTTCAAAATGAAGGTTTAGGTTTTGGAGAAGAATGCTGCGTGCGAACTTCCTGGGTGCCTCTGACACTCTTGCTACAACTGCTAAGCCATTGCCAGGTCGCTTTCTTTCAGTGCAGCTTTTGATTGGGTATGATAGAGAGTTTATGCCATAACAGCACAATTAGGAAATCTTTGCCAAGCAGATCTGGAGGAGTTCATATAAATCTGTTGTTTAGAAACCATTTTTAGGCTTTACACCAAATTCATTTCAGACATGAAAGTGTTACTACTTTTGCCTTCTTTTCTCTTTTAGTAAACTTTTATTGATTATAACATACATACTTCTTTTAGAAACAGTACAGATTTCCTGAAATATACCCACTTTTTGAAAACAAAAGCTAAACAGCTTACCATCTTTCCCTTATACCTAACCACAGCAGCTGGTAGTGTCAGTTTTCTCTTTTTTGTGTGTGCCAGGCTTGATGGTTAGAAAATATTTAATTTTGTTTTAACTTGTTTCTCTAATTACCAGTAAGACTAAATATTTTTCATGTCTTAAAAATCTTGTACAAAATTTTTCTTTTTGTCTTTCCCTAAGTAATACAGTGTAACACCTATGTATATATCATTTATATTATAAGTGATTTAGAGCTCTGTGGGAGGATTTGCACAGGGGTCCTGCAGGTACTGAGCCATTTTCTGTAAGATAATTATCTGTGGGTTTTTATATCCATGGGTGATCTTGGAACTAATATAACCTTTATATAATCTGAGATAAATTTTTTCCCCTCATTTTCTACACAAAATGCATTTCATTTCTTTAATGAAACTGTATTTTTCAGATAATGCAGTTTCCCACTTCTCACATGTCAGTTGTGTTTCTAAAACCGTCTATGTATCGTACTTACTTTGAATTGATATGTTAAATAATGCTTGTCATATTTATTTTTCCTTTTCAGAAATTTTCCTTGTGAATCTTAGATATATAAGTCCTTTTTTTCTAAAGATTTACTTATTTATTTATGCATACAGAACTGGGGTACAAGCCAGAGGTGCAGGGGCGGTGAGAGGATTCACCAGAGACAGAGTGGGGAGCAGAACAGGTAGATTGACGAAGAACACTGCTGAGGAGAGCAGCAGGCGGGTCAGGAGAGGTCTGCCACACCATGTGGATCACCTCCGGGGCAGGGATCGAACTTATGCTGAAGTGGCTTTAGCTTTTAGTCAGGAGAGGTCTGCCACGCCATGTGGATCACCTCCGGGGCAGGGATCGAACTTATGCTGAAGTGGCTTTAGCTTTTAGTGCTGTGCTTTAGCCCACTGCGCCACCAGGGAGGGCCCTATAAAAATCCTTTTTTAAAGTCTTTTGCATGGCTTGTCCTTTGAAAGCTGTTGTTTTGCATTTGTCTCCCACCAACAACAGGGTTAAATACATTAGGTTTTCTTCTTCATTAGCTACATGTGTAGGTATATGTGTATTTCCTTGATCTATATGTAATTTGTTGCATTTTATAAAACAGGTTAAAAATTTTTTTTCCCTTATCCCTTTCCATTTCACCTAGTCACAGTTGTAATCCGGAATCTTTTAGAACATATATATATGGTTAATAGTATACTAAGTTTTACAGAATATTCTATTTAGTTTCAGATTAAAGATTGTGTTGTTCTTATGCCATATGTTTTTAGTCCAAATGAACACATAAGTGTACAAACTTGATAGGACATCGCTACCATAATTTTCTATCAAACCTTTTCCCCCTATGTAACTTTTATTGTAGCTTTGGGTTTCTTTAAGTGTATTTAGTTATATTTTCACTTGCTATTTATTCATTCATTCCCCAGGCAGGGTCTTTGTTTTTCCTCTCTCTCTTTCCATTCTTAACTGCTTTTATTCTTTATCATGTTAAAAGAAAACGAGTATTTGTAGGAAAATGTTGCATACAGAAATTTCATATCCAGGTAACAACCAAATTATTAAAGATCACAAAGAAAATTAAATAAAACTCCAAATGACGTTTTAAAAGTATGAAAAGAAATCAACAGATGTACTTAGTGTAATATGTTAATTGTTTCTTTAAATGAAGACTAGTGACACAAATTGTAGAGCTTCTGTCTCAAGATGATTGAGAATTAATGTGAGGATTTGTGTAGAAGTATGTTTGCAACAGTATGTTAACATGTTTGGACCATATGGTGTGATACAACATGAAGTGGTATAATGAAGGAAATGTGAGAGATTAATTTTTGTATAAAAGTACACATTTTATGAGAAAATTATTAAATTTTCCTAATGGAATTCTATGAGAAATTTGCCTATTGGAATTGACTAAATAACAATTTGGGGGTTCCTGGCTCTCAGGGGACATTCAGAGCATCTAAAGATATTTTCAATTGTTGCAATTTGACATCTATTTGGTAGTGTCAGAGGTGCAACTCAGCTCACAGGACACCACCCACAGCAAGTTTTTATTCAATCCTAAGTGTGAGTAGGCCAAGCTAGAAAGGTCCTGATGTAGACACACTTGAAGGCCAGCTCTTTATTCCAGCTATTACTATAGATGTAGTTTTCATTACTAGTTTTGCAAAGTTATAATATATAGGACTCTTTGTTATATCCCTTTCTGTTCATAGCAAAGGCCATTACTATGAAGCTCAAATTCCGTGATAATAGAGCTGTAGGCCTAAATAATACCACCTGGATACATAGTTTCCTAGTAGTGTAATTTCAAGTGAGATATCCTAGGAGAGTTGTGATCAATGAATAGGTTGATCAACATATACCACATCTATTGCATACAGTTCCACATTGAAGTTATTCCCATTGTAAAATTAAAATAGCTAATTGTAGGTGTACTGTTTATTAATTCAAAGAAGATTTAGTGTTTTAGAGGTGATTAGTATTTGTCACACTGTTGCAGTTCAAGTTTTTGGGTACTTTTGGGGTACTTTACTGGCATTGCAGAATAGCAATTAAGGATTTGTGTGCTAAGAGTTCTTAAAACCTAAATTTTTTGTGCTTTAAGTTTCTGAATTTACATTTGGGTCCATCTATTGATGATGAAATAGAAGTAGAGGGAAACCATTGTCTTATTTCTGTTTTAAAAGGAATTATTTTATTGTTTCTACTATAACAATTCTAGGATTAAAATAAATTCTTTATCATATTAAAAAGAAATAATAGTTCATGTTTTGAACTTTGTTGAGTAATGAATATTTTATACCAAAGATGCCACTTTGGTTTCCAAAGATGAATTTTAATCATATTAATAAACACATAGTGTGTCTTCTTTTGATGGTGAAGATGAGAACTTGCTTTAGAGTACAAGATTCATTTTAGCCTATGCTACTCAGTGATTGACTGTTTTGGTGTTAAGTTCATCCGTGGTTTCATTCCTCTGGTAGAACTTATATTTTGTCCCAAAGCATCAATAAAAGTTTTTTACTTACCTTTGTTCTGAAAAATAAAATATATTTTAATAAGTGCATAAAACATACATCTATATATATATATATATTTTTTTTTTTTAAAGAAGTATTTATTTGTGCATACAGAACTGGAGTGCAGGCCAGAGGCTCAGGGGTGGTGAGAGGCTTCACCAGAGACAAAGTGGGGAACAGAACAGGCAGATCGATGAAGTACACTGCTGAGGGGAGCAGCGGGCGGGTCAGGAGAGGTCTGCCGCTCCATGTGGTCACCTCTGTGGCAGGCGGGAATCGAACTCATGCGGAAGCGGCTTTAAATTCTCAGTGCTGTGCTTTAACCCGCTGCACCACTAGGGAGGGCCCATACATCTATATTTTAAAAATATAAAAGTACATACAGGGTAATTACCTCAAGAAATTGTAATTTTATTGGCAACCCAAAAATCATGCACCCATTCTTTCTCTTTTTTCCAGAGGGAGACATTATTATGACTTTTTTTTTTTTCTTTACAACCTGTGTACATGTCAAAAAGTATCAGTTGATTTGAATATTTTTACTTTATATAATAGTCACATTTACACTCTTTATTCTTCTGTGACTTCTTTTGTTCAACATATTTAACACTACTTATTACACCAAATATTTGATTTCTCTATTACATTATTACATTTGGCTTCTCTGTCTATATTAACTATGACAGTTGTGTGTAGCATTTGCACATTGTCTTTGTTGTACTGTTTTTTAAAATTCCATGTTTTTATCTTGAAAAATATGTAAAACAACAAAGTTCTGTAAAAACAACTATTTCTTTCC